ATCTGTGAGTTAGCCATGCCCTGACTTAGATCAGCCCAGAGGTTGTTTCAGTTTTGATCTGTGAATTAGCCATGCCCTGACTTAGATCAGCCCAGAGGTTGTTTCAGGGTTTGATCTGTGAATTAGCTGTTCCCTGAATTACATCACCCTAGAGGTTGTTTGAGGGTATCGATCATCCCTTGAATGAAAATAAAGAGATAATCCTTCATTTCCACATTAATAATCCTTTACCTCAATCACTCCATATTTAGGAGCCTGAACAGTAATCATTGCACTGCTGTCCAATAGAAAACATATCTTATAGTTTGGATTATTTGTTACATTCAGTTCTTTCATTTTGGCCTCAATCCACTTCATACTTGTTGCAGACCAGATAATGATGTTGTAATCTTCAAAAGCAGATGTCAAAAACTCATGGAGGTATGGACGCATTAGTTCGTATCCATATTCTGCAGACGATTTGTGGTCTGTTGAAGAAAATTGGCAAAATGTTAATTCAGTGGTTTGAATAAACACAAACTTGGGCATAGCGAGGGCTTTGTAATAGAGGGTGTTATACATTGAGGAGAGGGGGGACTCCGAGGTATTGGATAAGCATGCTAGTAAGAAATTTTCAAAAATACCTCTGAAAGATACTGTGAAGTAGTATCATTCTCAACCAGGGCAGATTCAGGAATTTGTTAAGTGGGTGTCCCAAATAAAGAAATGTGTATAGAGATATATCGAAAATGATTCTTTTGCTTCAAAAAAGCTTAGGTAATTATGGCATTAGGGGGTTGTCTGGTGCATTGCAGGACACCCCTTGAATCCACCCCTGCTCGAACAAAGGTTGAGAAATAGAGGTTGTTTGGCAGTCAGGATGTCTGAGAGCAAAGTTTTTTCCCTATACCCAGATCATAGTACATAAGTGACTTATTTACAGTATTTTTTTCCAATTTACTTTTTGTCTTGTTATGTATCTATCATTTTTTTGATATCCCAGGATTACCAGACTATGGTCAAAGATAGAAAATACCGCCTCCTCCAACAGCCAATCAGAATGCACACAAAGTTTAGGGTAGCAAAAAAATACATATCTTTATTGCAAAACTTTTCTACACAATTTCTGTACCCATTTTTCCCCTTTCTATTTGCAAAATTAATTTAAAAACGATCATTACCAAATAAAGTGTAGTCAACATCAAGAACAAGTAGTTTCTTGTTTTCGTCTGGTTCATTGAGGACATTGATCTTGTAGTCTGATACTCTTTTGGCTATTTTGGACAAATTTTCTTCTCTGAAATAAAAATAGATGAATCAGTTGAATCATGCAATTTTATACAATCCTGCATGAATGATAGAATGGAGCAAATGAGTGAATGAATGGATGGATAAATGGATAATGGATAAGTAATGAATAAATAACGAATAAATGAATACTAGATAAAATGAATAAGTGAATGATTGAATGAAAGCAAGAGTGCATGAATGTATGAAAAGAATGAAGGAAGGAAGGAAGGAAGGGAGGAAGAGAGGGAGGGAGGGAGGGAGGAAGGAAGGAAGGTAGGAAGGAAGGAAGGAAGGAAGGAAGGTAGAAAGGTAGGAAGGAAGGAAGGAAGGTAGGAAGGAAGGAATGAAGGAAGGAAGGTAGGTAGGAAGGAAGGAAGCAAGCAAGGAAGGAAGCAAGGAAGGTAGGAAGGAAGCAAGGAAGCAAGGAAG